ACTGCTACTGCAGCGTCAACCTTATTGTAAATTGTTTTAGTTGTTGCATTATTGTTGTTGATGGCTGCTTTATTGTTTGTAAACCATATTGATTATATTTCTTACATTAAAAAGTGGGACAGAAAATTGAGGTTATGAAAAATCTTACAGCTAGTGTTCTGCGAGCACAACAGAACAACTCCAAAAGAGGGCAAAATGAAAACAATGCTAGTCTATCTACAAAGGACATTGTATTTTTTTCTGCTCAGTTAAGTTAGAGGTAATTTAATCTGTCTGCTTTGGAATGTTTGTTATGTTTAAAATGACAAAAAACGACAAGCAATAAATAAATAAATAAATGAATCCAAGAGATATTCTTCATAAAATAGAAAATGACACTGGGTTACCTGTGCCTTCCTATTAGTGTACCTGGTGGATGCACATTCTTCATATTTATTTATTAGCTAGTAGGTTAAATTTATATCCCTGTTTTCCTCCCTGAAGTGTGATTCAAGATGCAAAAAACACAACACAGCTAATGCAGGGGGACTCATGGAGCCATGCAATAACAATATACACACTTTTGCAATGCAATATTGCCTAAGATAATGTGTTCTGTGTCTTATTTGCAGCAATATATGCATTTTATGCACACATTGCCCAAGTATATGTATTTTTGTACCCACTACTAGTCCAGAGAATTGCACTGCAAAATTCAGGGTAGTGTGAATTTCAAAAAGATGGCTGTGTTTCCGAAAGTGTAAATTAGGTAGGTTTGCCTTTTAGTGTGAACTGAATCAAATTTCTCACTCATTCTTAGCTATTAGTCAGTTCACGTTCAAATCTACCTTATGTAGTAATGAATCACTTTACCCACTTGAAGATGTCATATGAAATCAACACAGTGGGTTGTATGCAGTGTAGTGCAAAGAAAATGGTTTCATCTGTACAAACATTTCTGTTTGACAACAGAAAAATCTCCCTTTGTTCTGGGCGTTTTCCTGACCCTCTGGAACAGATTTGGGGAGGGCTCAGGGGCTCACTGAGGGAGGAGTGCAACAATTTAGTTGAATGCAACCTATAACTATCTGATCTTTATTGTTATTATTATTTTCAAATAATTGGATCACAATGAGTAGCAGCTCCATTCTGGTTAACCAAAACACCAAGCCTCTGACATTCCTGCTCTAAAAGGAAATAAAATCAGAAATAGAAAGACAGGCACAGGAACAAACAATTTAACCTTAGACTTAGCTGCGCTGCATTTGAAAATTATCTTTGCTACCTTCCAATTTATCTACTGAAGGAAGATGTCACTTAAAACACTTCACTATTTAAAAAGTCGGGATAGTAATAAAGCAAAGGAAAAGAGCAGAAAAAAACAAAACAGCCATTTTGTCAGTAAACACCAGAGGATTGAACTGGCAAACTTAGCTGAGAGAAATTGTATTTGGAGAGTTAATCCTCTGAGGGTGGAGTTAATCAAAGTTGAACTTCTAAGTGAATCTACAGAGACTTCTTTGCCTCCTGTTCCTGCAAATCAAACTGCAGTGTGATTCAGGTTGTGAAACCCATTGCAAAGCTCATACCATGGGATTCACTGAGCCATGAAAGAGCATAACCCACTACTGTAGAACGGTTAAGTCTTTTCAAGAAGGAATCAGCCGGGCTAACAAGTTACTTCAGCAGTGGAACTATACTGTCAGCAGCAAATGCAGGTCTGTTCTCTCCCCATTCTCCCATAGAAACTCTGCCTGCCTGGCTTGTTCAGCGTAACTGAGGTTCCCAGATGTGTACTTGTTGCATCAAGTGGAGAAATGCATGAGAAATGCAGATGGCATCTGAAAGGCTAAGTAATCCCACCTGCTACTTCTCCACCACAAATTCCTCATCTGGAGAAGTAGTGGCTAGAGTTTGCCACCCAAGGTTTGCTGGTGGCGGTATAAAAAAGTAAAGGGACCCCTGACCGTTAGGTCCAGTCGTGACCAACTGGGGTTGTGGTGCCCATCTCGCTTTATTGACCAAGGGAGCCGGCGTACAGCTTCCGGATCATGTGGCCAGCATGACTAAGCCACTTCTGGCGAACCAGAGCAGCGCACAGAAACGCCGTTTACCTTCCCGCCAGAGCGGTACCTATTTATCTACTTGCACTGGTGTGCTTTCGAGCTGCTAGGTTGGCAGGAGCAGGGACCGAGCAACGGGAGCTCACCCCGTTGTGGGGATTCGAACAGCCAACCTTCTGATCAGCAATATAGCTGGCACCAAAAAACATGGAAAAACTTTGAGAGAGCCTTCTTCATGCAACCACCATCATGTACTTGAATTCATGTAATGTATTAGTCAGGTCATACATAAACATACTCATCAGCATCAAAGTATATGAAAATGGCTCATATACCAGAGGGAGAACATTCATTTTACTTCAAATACTATAGTTATCAGTAGGGAACAATTTGCAGGAGAGAATGCGAAGACATCTAGTGTGCCTGGCCTTATCAATCAGATTTAAAATTGGAGCATGCTTAAATATAGATGATCTGCAGAATCACATGTATAACGTGATTATGCCATTTCAGACTGTGGATAGGAAACAGCATGTTTAAATTGCTCTTTGAAATAAATAAAATAAAATATAAATTGCTCTTTTAAAAAAGGATCCAGTGCACATAGAAAACTAGCATACCAGGGAGAAAACAAGGCTGGAAATGTTATTCCTGATAAGCTAGTTTTCCATAAACACAAAATTTTGCTATGGAGGTGAATTCAATACACACCGGCAATCACCTGCAGTGAAACCACCCACAATTCGTCTGATCATGCAGTTCAGCTATGAGAGATAATAATGTAGCAATTCTTTTTAACATGCATAAATTCCATGGCTGGAAGCATCAACAAACATTAGGAATGAGGCACATTGGGCTGCTCCCAATTTGTTTATTTTTAAAAATGTGAATGGGCTTCTGTGAGTCAATCTCATATAGCAGGGATAGCCAATATGGTCTGTTGTGAATGACAACTTCTTTCATTCTAGAGTTTTAATGATCTTTCCAAGGTTTCCAGGAGATGGGCAAATAATCCAAGGAACAGACTATCACCTGCTTATCTTGGGACCTTTTCCAGTTCCAACAGTCCCTATGTTCACCAGCCTCCCTAAGCCACCAAGCATAGCCAGGCTCTGTCTCCTGACCCACAAAGTGTCATCCCTACCAAGCTCCCAATCATCTCAACAAGTTCTACCCCATGACCTATAAAGCACCACCCCTTAGCTTCCAGGCCCTGTTTCCACATCTCATGATCTCATCCTAAAGGAACTTGATTTAATGCATAGATGTGCTGCTGAAGTGCAATCACACCAGCTTTTCATAGGTTGGGCCCCTGACCCTCCTCCATGGTTCTTCCGAGGTGATCTTTAGTCCCTGGTGCTGAAAGAGCAGAACAACTGGTCAGCTGTGTGCTTAATTATACAGTCGTACCTTGGAAGTCGAACGGAATCCGTTCTGGAAGTCCATTCGACTTCCAAAATGTTCGGAAACCAAAGTGCGGCTTCTGATTGGCTGCAGGAAGTTCACAATAGTTCACAAACTGGAACAGTCACTTCCGCGTTTGTGGCGTTCAGGAGCCAAAACGTTTGAGAAGCTGCTTAAAAACGAAGGTACGACTGTATTGAGAAATGCTAAAAATTGGGGGTTGACTTTTCTGTCAATGTTCCGCTTTTATGAAATTTCCTTCCCACTGAAGGCCATAGGTGACCAGCTTCCTTGATTATGGGGGCTGTTCAAAACAGATTTGGGGGAAAGGGTGTTTGACCTCTTATTTTGAACAATACTGCTTCTGTGGTTATCTTTTAAATGCAGGTGTCGTTTAAATATTCTTGCAATACAACACTATCTCAGAACAAATAGTCTACCAGTCAAAACACGGCATATCAAGTGTCAGGATATAAGCCTAACAAGCGACTGGTCTGTGCAAACACTGGTACTTCAAAATGGCTTGCAGGCTGACTTGGCTGCATGTGCCAAAAAACCCTCTGCAATAGAAGATAAAACAGTTTTGCAGTAATCAAGTAAGAATTCAACCCTTTTTTCCGCATTTCACATAGTCTCTGCTCTGTGCTGCTAAGCCAAGGATATGGGGAAGAGAGGCATGTTAGACCTGTCAATATGATGAAGTGCCATATAGGATAACATCTAGTGAAACATTGAGAAGAAAATGTTGTTTGTAGATCTATTTCTCAAACCCTAAAACTGCAGAAATAATTTATTTCTGTTGTATAACTACTACACACACATGTCTTCATGGCTACAAATTTTGCACTGCCATAGAACCTCTGCCCACTTTGGAGAACTGAAACTCAACAGTGGCATCTAGCGGCTGTTCATTCTTGACAGAAACAACCTCACTGTTTGCTTTCAACTGTCTCCTAGAACACCATTGCTTTCTGCTTGACCTAGCTAAAATACAAGCGATTACTAGGAAAACCAAACAGGTATTTAAAACCAGATTCACTACTGTGCTAAACATTTTGTCAGGTTTTTTTTTATTGTGTAGACAATTGCCATTAAAATAAAGCTCCCCCTCAAACAAATGAAGACAATCCAAGAGTAAGTGAAAACATACATTTTCAGAAAGGTAAGCTGTCAAAACATTAAATTGTAATGTTCTCCAAATAATTTAGATTAAAAGAATCATCTTGGCACTCAACAACATTTTGGTTTTAAGAAGTAGCCCATAACTTTCTCACGGCAAGCGTATACAGGCAACTCCCCATTTGCATAGGGGTTATGTTCCAAGGCGCCACACGTTTATGTGAAATTGTGCATACTGTAAAACAGCCTGCAAACATCCTCTAAACCTCTGGAAGCCCTTGAAAAACCCTTTAAAAAACCCCAGCAACCCTTACTAGACAGGCATGCATAGTGACAGTGGTGGCTCTCATTCTTCCTCATTACTGAATGACAATGTGGAAAACAACAGCAAGGTGGGTAGACCAGTACTTTGAAGAGCTTGGCCATAGGTCAGATTCACTTGCTGCTGATGGTGGGGCTGATGGTGTCTTGCAGGGGGAACATGGTGATGGGCAGCTGGCACTTTTGTCTCTTCAGCTGGTGAGGGTATCCTTGGGCAGCTTCCTGGTCCACATATGCAGCTTCATCACTGGTACCAATGTTCTTCAAGCTGAAGCTGCGCTTGAAGTGGACCAGCCAACTGGAGCTGGCATGGAACTCATTTGCAGGCTGCAAACAGCTTGAGAGCTTTCTTGCATAAGGTGCTGCCATCGATTGGAATGTGCTGGTGGTTCATGTCCTCTAGGTTCAGTGCACTGTCTTCACCAAGGCCTCGTCCCACACCTGGATAGTGACCTTCACAGTTGTACCTGCTGTCACTGATGCCTGGATTTTCTTCTCCCATATCTTAATGACATATTCTGGACTCATTCCTGTCATACATCCCTGCTACAACAAACATGGTCATGCCATCTCATAAACAGTCCAGCACTCCCAGTTTCCTTCCAGCGTGGGCACCACTTACTGCTTCTTGGGTCTGTCAGCACCAGAGGAAGATGATGGTACCGTGCATTTAGGTGCCATCTAAAAAAAAGGCTAAACAATTTCAAGAAACCCTCCAAGATTTCTCCCCCAAACTCAAAAAACCTTCACCAGACATTTATCCTCCTCCAAAAGCTCTGCGAGAAATCTGCCAAATTCCATCACAATCGCTACCTCCAAACCTCCTCCTTCAAACTCCAACTCTCCACAGGCTTCAAAGATCAGTGCAAGGGGTCCTGAGACTGCACTTGCAAAGGCTCATGCATTGCATACATAATATTACTGAAAATAGCATGCTAGAATGATATTAAAATAGGTACAATGTAAAGAAGGAGGAGAAGAATGAGAGTACTCAATTTGTGCTTATATAGTAATTCCCATAGAAGCCTTTTGTGTATAGTACACCAGAATAGAGGAAAGGAGATGACAGGAGTCAGGCCAAAAGGAAACAAGGGAATTAGGATTATGAGAGGGTGAAGGATGTCTCAGAAATGAAGGGTAAAAAAATGGCATATCCAGAAGGAGAAGGGAAATAAAATGGGGGAGAGGGAGGGGGAATGGAGATGAACAGTCTCAGAGAGTTGAATGGAGAGGACCAGAAGCAACATACAAGATACTGATACAACCATTTGATTGCAAGCCTCTATTGTTACATGACAAGTTTAGATGTGTATGATTCCTTGTCTTTCTGTACATAAATATTGGACGAGAAGTGTACCCATCCATGTGTTTGCAAGCAGCTGCCCGAGACTAAGAAAGTATGATAAATATAAGAAAAGGCCTTTCAGAAAGTAGGCTGTTTACCGGACTGTGTTTCATGAGGTCAAATGGCCAAAGACCTTTCCTCGTGGGGGCTCCATTTCCCAGCACCCACACAAATGTACAAAATGACAAATGTTTCAATGTACATTGGCTCAAGTAATGCTGGAGGCTGGTGACAGCTGCAATTCCTCACTAACAGAAATGCAATTCCTAAAACCTCTATGGGTCCCTTTACGGGCCCTTGGTTGAAAAGTGAATCATGTTATCCATGCGATACTATCCCTCACAATGCACATTTTATAGTGTGATAAGACTACAAGGTGGGCTCAGAAAGTAGCATAAAAATGTCCACCCACACCAAATGTTGACAATTGCCATTATCCTACAAACAGTCTCATATAGCAAGCACCTCATAAATAGTATCACATCCATAGTTCAACACACCCTCTCATTCACATACACACTAAAGGAAAGATTGAACACTATGAATTACACCCTGTCATGTAAGAGGTCAACAACAATGTCTCTAATATCTTCAGAAACTGTTTTTCCCCCCACAGAAATAGGCCTCTGATCCAATGTTACCCACATAATGAAAGAAAATATAAACAATACTTTCAGCGAACAAATTTATTTAATTAAAGGAGAGCCTTATCATATGCACTTAATAGATAAATTTAATGTGTGAGGGTGACATTGCAGCAGCAGGCTGCACCCCAACCTACACTCATATGCTTCAACATCTGCAGTACATGACCACCCCTATCTATAGGCATTTATTCTATGCAGAGATAACAAGTAACGAAAGGGAGATTAGGTAGATATCCTCAGAAAGAATGGTAGATAATTTGTTGCAAGGAAGCCCTGTGGGCAATTGACCTAACAGAGCACAGTACTGTGTGATCTCATCCCACCTTAACAGACATACATATTTGGTGAAGATTCTAATAAGCATTTAAATATCTGGGGATGGAGGACACATTTAACGATTTCTAGATGACAAGCAATAAGAGAGCCAACATTTTCAACAAGGTGACTAAAAAATGGCAATGGGAAAGAGAAATTGTTACAAAGAGCCCAGACACCTAATTAACCAAGTGTTCGTAAGGGGGGGGGGGAGTTAATTACATATTTATTTCCAGTATGTTACTAAAACGTTTGGTAAAATATTCCTTTCAGGACATAGAACAATAACAGGGGAGAGTGGTTGTATTGGGAATAGCACTTAGCTTCAGGTGGCCAGCTCTATTTGTCATAATCCATCTTGATCATGCAAATACTACTGTGAATGTTGGTCCTGCTTATATCCATCTAGTTACCATTTGGAAACTTGGAGATGCAAGGATGGCCGAAAGCTTTTATCACAATTTAATGCCACATATTTTAAATACAGTCATATCCCAGTAGTTGTAACAGTCACATTATAATGCATTACTTATTTTTTTTAAATTGAGACCTAATGTGGACATTTTATTTTGATCATCATGCCTTGGGCTTCTGGTTCTACAGCTTGGATAGCCTTACTTGCTGGGCTACCACAAAGTAAATGATATGAAAGTCTTACATTCCTATACTGGAATACTGCTAGCCTTAATGACTACCAGAGCTAATCTTACCCTATTATGAAATAATTATAATTGCTATTACAGTGGTACCTTCTTAACCTGAAACTGTTCTTAACCTGAGGTACCACTTTAGCTAATGGGGCCTGCTGCTGCTGTCGCGCAATTTCTGTTCTCATTCTGCAGCAAAGTTCTTAACCCAAGGTACCATTTCTGGGTTAGCGGAGTCTGTAACCTGAAGCGTCTGTAACCTGAAGCATCTGTAACTCAAGGTACCACTGTACTGTCTAATATTTATTCTTATTATGGTAGTTTTTTCTGGCATACCAGAAGAGAAGAAGAAGAAGAGTTTGGATTTGCTATCCCGCCTTTCACTCCCCTTCAGGAGTCTCAAAGCGGCTAACATTCTACTTTCCCTTCCTCCCCCACAACAAACACTCTGTGAGGTGAGTGGGGCTGAGAGACTTCAAAGAAGTGTGAGTGGCCCAAGGTCACCCAGCAGCTGCATGTGGAGGAGCGGAAACACGAACCCGCTTCCCCAGATTACGAGACTACCGCTCTTAACCACTACACCACACTAGCTCTCCAAAGGGAATTGCCATCTCAGATGCATCAGATAAATAGGCATTCATATCCAGTTGAGGCTGGGTGGTCAGAACCAGCACAAGACATTTTGTTGCCTCAGAAAAAAGACAAGATGATGCCCTCATTCCATATATAGAAGTCACCTAGGCAGGCAGTTCCATTACACTTCGACATTGGTAATGGGATAGCACACCTGAAGGCAGCAGGTGAATCACACACAAAGCTCTGTCCTCCAACATTTGTTGCTGCTCTCTGAGCAACTGCTGCTCTGCATAATGACAAGGGCAGCCCTTCTGATGGAATTCCTCCTAAAACGGAGATGGTGCAGCTGCACATTGGCTTTTGGGCCTCCAACATGGGGGCTAGAGAGACCCCCTGCAATCATTTGAAAAATAGTTATTTCTGGTAAGGAAGGACAAAGCAAGGTCATTTGTTCTCAGGACAGTAGCTGGGTCCATGCTAGTTCCCACCTTACTGTGGTGTTCTTCCTGGAAATGAAGGGATACTTACTTCAAAATAATACTTCAAATTTCACCCACCTTCTCTGTCATGCATGAAGCGCCCAACCCTCTAATTCATTGATATCTACAGGGTAGACTCAGGGTTTTCTAAAGCCTACTGACAAGTTCACGTGTCCTGCAAATGGAATGTGGTGATTTGAGGTTTCATGTAGCCTCCAATTTTATAAAGATCAAGCCAGCTCATGTCACAAAGCTCAATCGTTTGTGAACTGCTGGTGCTTAAAGCCAAAAGCTAAACATTCTCTTTCAGCAACACATTCATCCTTTGTCCCACAAACCTGTTACTATAGTGACTGTTTCTCCAGCGTAGCTTGCTATGACATTTTCAAGTGGTTAGCTGCTCTGTAATTTATGACTAGATCTTAGGAACTGTTGCCCAAACAGCCCTTATCCCACTGCAACAGTTGGTATGACAAAGCAAATAACTAAATTAGTTCCTTCAAAATTTCATGGCAAAAGGTTTTCCTCCCCAATCCCACCCCAAGATTGTTAGGGCCAGCATCTCAAAAGGAAAGAAAGAAAAATCAGTTCTATAATACAAACTATATATATTTTTACAATGTCCTTGCACATAGCTCAGGCAATATAGTTTAAAGACATATCAATGCTGTCATGGAAGATGGAAAAGCTTTGATTTGTCGCAGCCTGATTTTGTTCTCTTCCCAAAACATCATCTGTTTAAAGGGATGTACCAAAATGGGCTAGGTTGGTAGACAGAGTAGCATATATATATATATTTTCCATAGATTCAACACATTGGCCTGGTTCACACAACCCACTAAACCAAAGCTTTGTTTAGCCATTTTACTCCTCCCTGATCCTTTTTGATATAATTATTTTTCTGCATCAACTCATCATTGGCAAATTCTAACTAGTCATGTATCAAACTTAGGCCACAACTGCTTAGCTATTGAGTGGAACAAGATGGGAGAGCTGGATTGATGCTTTGAAACCATCGAGATATCATCCTGGTGGTATATTTGATGCTTTAATATAGATTTTTTGATGACACAAGCCTAAAAATACTTCCCAATTTGAAGCAAAGCCCTTGCTGATGCAATTTGTAAGTTCGCGTTTGTGGTATCCCCAGTGGCGTTGCATGTGCACGTGTGCCAGAGTGGTGCACAGGCACATGGCCAGGTGGTGGGCATGCACCAGTGTGTACAGGTGTGCCAGTGGGTGGGGCACAAAGAGTAAAGGAGGTGGCTGCAGCACCCCAACCCTTGATGCCAACCCCACCAGAATGACCTCACTCCAGAGCAAACCAGCCCGCCTGTGCAAGGGGGAGCCTGGCCAGCTG